CCTGCCTGGGAGTAAAGATGCCCATTTTTGCTTAAGCCACTCATCCAGGCTCAGATGGGAGACACTGCATCTGTGGTCTGTAGGAGGGTCCCTTTGCCCGACACACTGGTGCACAGCTGTGGTACAGTACTACCATGTGCTATTTAGGGAAAATAGAGAGAGGCTAAACATGAATTGATGTGTCAGCCACACCTTCCTCTCCCAAACTCAGTGTCATAAGAGAGTGGCTCCAATTTTCTCTTCTTATCCCAGCTAAGGGGCACACGTGGTGCCTTCCAAATTCTTCACTGTTGACCTCCAGAGCTGGTTGAATTCGGAGGGCCAGAGTCAGTCAGTAAAGTGAATCTGAGGTTGAAAGGAAAGACATGGCTTGGGAGCAGAGAACCAAAAGGTGGGGCAGGGGGGTCAGCCTGGTGGACAATGAGGGAATTACTGTGGCAGTGGTCAACACTGGATGGATGACAGTGCCCAGGATGGGCTAAGTGCCCCCTGGGTTGGGAGAAGTCAGCTGTGTCTCCCCTCTGCCTATCAGTATAGGCTGCTGGCTTTCAGTCAATGGCACTGCACACACAGTGCAGGCCCAAGTGGAAGGAAGTTTTAATGTTCCTTCTCAATATCCTTTTCCTTTAAAAAAAAAAATGGCATAGCTGCGCAACATCTCTCTGTTATTATAAATCTAATACCACAAGTTTCAGTTGAGTGAACTCGCATCTTATTTGGGATCTGGGTCCACAGTCGCCTAAAGCTGGTGGGACTGTAATTGTACAGACATACGTGAAGACTGTTAATCGTGTTGACGTGGCACGGACCAATGGTCTCTCCAGCACAGCAGGCATGTTTGCACGGGACACACGCAGTGTTAGCCACAAGATGAAAACATGTAATTCTGCAAGCGTTTTTGGATTGTTAATTTGTCTGGATAGAAAAATCACATCACAGGTCAGAGGCCACAGGCCTGCATACTTTCTTCTGGGTTTCTGTTGGAGTGATTCCTGCAAGAGTTGCATAGAAGGCTGACCTGTGGGTGGATGGGGGATGCTGGTAACCCCTCCCTAGAATGTGTCCCTCCACAGTGAGCCCAGCAGCTGCACTGTGGCCCCAGAGGAGGTTGGGCTGTATGTGAGTGGACATCTATCCGCTGACTCATCCTCCCACAGTGGCTACAGCTAGTGGATGGTACCTGTGTCCCCCAGGTGAAGGGATTTGTGCTACACCCAGAATGGCCATCTGGATGCCTGGCTGGGAAGGCACTGGGGACCAGAGCTCTGCTTTTTGCCATGAAGGGAGCTATGGAGTCTGCTTGGCCTGCTTGCAGGGATCCTGGGACAGATGGAGGGGCAGAGGGGAGAGAGAGGTATAAAAACCATGGCTCTTTGCCTACTGGGACAAGCCGAGATTCCCCAGTGTCTTTTCCATGGGTATCCCTGAAGAGGAGAACCACATGAGGGCAGGGTCAACCCCAGGAGCCTGCCCAGAGCTGTGTTCTCCGCCTGGACCATGGCACCCCCTGAACACAGTGGGTGCAGAGCTGGAGCTGGGGGAGGAGGTTGTCTCCCAACCCCAGATGCCTGGCTATTGCCACATCAGGCTCTTAAGTGTGACTGGGGGCCTATCTTGTTGGACAGGTGTGATTAAATCAGAGTTCAGACAACTCCCCAGGTGTGCAATCTCGTCCGCCTCTCCTGTGACTCTCAGGGCACATTGTCACTGAATCCAAGGGCTCTTGCAAATGCCAATGCTCAGAACAGGGCTGGGCATGCAAAAAGCATTCAGTAAACACCTGGTCCAGCTGCTCTGAAGGGGCAGCTATCAGGGTGGTGTCCCAGGCCAAGTGGCTGAGTACAGGTACAGTACCGTCCCCTAGAATGGCTTCTTCCTCATGGCGTTCAGGGTGAGTCCACTGCCTCTCTACACACAGGGCAGGGGAAAGGAGGTCCAGTATCTCTGCAGAGGGACCTGTGTGGTATTCCTCGTACACGGATGGTGTCTGGAGGACCTGCTGCTTACGCTGTGTTTCTGACACCACCTCCCTGGATGGATGGTCCTGCAGTGAGTCCCCATGGGGCCTGACCACAGAGTTTGACCTTCTTCCCCGCAGCTACTGTGTCCACTGGGTGGCCAGAAGGGATCCTTGATATCAGGGTGGGGGGATCCTCAGTACTTGGGCATTGTGGTAACTCAGGGTCTGTTGCTGTAATGAAATTGTGAGTCCTACATCAGGAAGGCTCCTTTATACTCCATTTCCTCCACTGACTGGGAGACTTGGTCTGGCTCTGACTCAGGTGGGTGTCCTTCCTCATTGTGAGCCGTCCTTCCTGGATGGGGTTTTTGGGCAGTATTGTTCCTAAAAATCATGCAGTGAGCATGGACAGTTCCTCAGCCCCTAAGCCTCCTATTAAGCCTCTCTACTAACAGACACACATCAGCTACCCAAGACACACTTGCAAATCTACTTAGACTGAGGCTGGAATTCCAGGTTGCCAGGATTGTACTTGTGAGATCTGAGCATCACTAGGAGCTCTGACATCTGTTCTCAGCCACGAAGGGAGATTGGGACATACTAAGTTGAATCCTGGAGCACATGAAGGGAGACTATGCAGGCTGGGATCAGCAAAAGATGATGAAAGAGTCACATGGTGGAGGAGGAGGGAACCCAGGTTGCAGCCCTCCAGCCCCAGGCAGGTCCTGCGAGATTTGTTTTCATATTTGGAGAACAGCAGGCCTGTTTGGCTCCTCTCTTAGAAAGTTAATGTTGAGGTTCCAGGGCTGGGCATCGGGATATACCCATCTGGTCGACCTGGACCCCTAGACTCACATTGTCCAGGGTTGGACGAGCTGGACCACCAGCATTTCAGAGTCACCCTCTGAAATCTGTCACCCTCTTCCTGCAGCCACATAACACAGAAGATGGGAAACAGCTTGGCTCGTAGAGGGGAGGGCCACTCAGCCCAGCATAGGAGCCAGGGGGACCACTGAGAATCTTGAAAAATAGGCCAAATCAAGAGGAAAACACCCTGGTTACCCTGCTTACCTTAAGATGGTCCTACCCTTGGCCGGCCTGTTGCATGGGAGCTAGCCCCACCAGAGGACAGAGGATGTGGTCCTTGGAAAAGAGGCAGGGAATACCAGGATGCTGCAGGGAAGGGGGTATCTGGGAATTTCAGGGAGACCTCATATGCTAGGAGCCAGTCTGTATTCTATCTTCTCTGAGTTCCAGGGCCAGGCAGAGCAAGGGCAGCCCCTCATAGTAAGAATACATCATACCTTGCAGGGAAGGGCCTTGGATGGCAGTGTCAGGAGGCCCTTCTGAGGACACATAGCTGCAGGGCTCTCAGACAGGACACCTGGTCCCCAGGAAGCCAGGGCCACCACTGATGCCCAAGGCCACTTTGAGGCAGTGGCTCTGGGTGAGCAGACTCGACGCCTGACTAGCCCTCAGGTGCATCTGGGTCTCGCCCTGCATCAGTGGTGCAGGTACAGGATGGGATGGATCAGGAAGAAAGGCTTGGAGACAAGAGGAGAATGTGGTGTGTGTGCTGAACTGAGCCAGCCACACGGAGGCCTTATGACTGAAGGCCCGGTGCTGGAAGCTGTGGGGCCTCTCCCGTTGGACTCCACAGGACCTTGGCACACTAGAAAAACAGCAGCAGCCTGGAACAGACATGAGAGCTGCTTCTCAAAGACGTGGTCAGTCTGGCCTGGACTTGGGGGGACTTCTCATGGCTTCTTCCTATGCCACCCTGTAGCTACACTGGCTGTCAAGCCCCAGACTCCTGCCCACCATAGTGATGGGCTTACTAAAAAAAAAAAAAAAAAAAGAAAAGAGCTTTCTTTAAGGCATTGGCTTGCAAGGCTGCCCAAGAACCCTGAGCCCACTTCGTGCCTGACCTGTGTCTAATGGGCTCCTACCTCAGCTCTGCATGCCTATAACATGACCTGTTTACTCCCCATCATGCTGCTGGATGACATCCTGTACTCTGTGGTCCACAGTTGCACCCAGTATGGCTCATGAGTGTTTGCTGAATGAATGAGCAGTGGTTCCCAAGAGGGAGTCTAGACCCAGAGGACATTCCAGCCTGGCACAGAGGGAGATATCCAACCATGCACTGTCTGTGAAGGAGGCTCTCTGGAGAGATGGTGGTGCTGGACCCCACCAATTGGAAATGGGAAAGAGGGCCTTGCATCAAAGACTTGGCCATCTGCATGTAAGGCTGGGTGGTGGGAACTTTTAGGGGCTCTTCTGTAACCCTGTGGCATTGGTGAAGGAGCCTCAGTCCAGCTGCTGCAAGGAGTGACACCCTAAAATCTCCTGGTGGCTTGGGAGAATGAGCGCACAGCCTAGCGCTGCCCAGCTCGGAAACTTTGGTCAGGACTATGGCAATCAGCACACATTTCCCTTGGACCCTGTTCCGCAGCGCCTCTCAACTTTGTTAATGGAAACCTGGTGATCCATGACGCGAGAGTGGCAGACATCTGCTCCCGGGTAATGTGGTGGTAATGTACATATCGATGATCAATCTGCGGATTTGCAAGAGAGGCATAAAGTATTTAATTATAATTGCGTTGGGCAAGGCTGCATAGTGGCAGCGACATTTGAATAGGTCACAGCTGGTTCTCACCCCTGTTATGTTGTTGGTATTAAATGCCATTCACTCCAAGGGCTGGGAACATTTCTGAAGTTGCAGGATATCACACCCTGGCAAATTGAAAATGTCCCTTTGCTTTTAAAAACATGATTGATATCCTTTGTAAAGCACATACTATACCTTAGAGTACATGATTTAGCCTGGTACTGCCACTTACCTCCTCCAACTGGCTGCCCAGGTGGTGTATGGCCATGATCATGTATATGGAGGAGACTGGCCACTAAGAATTCTTCCCACTATGAGGCTGTAGCCTCCGAAGAATATTTGTCTTGCTTAGAGCAAGGGGCTTTTCTGTTTCAAGTCAGGCTTTGTTAACTAGAGCAAAACGCAGAAATAAAGCAAGAACCCAAAAAATGAAATGCAAATTTTATTTGCTCAGTTGGTAGCAGAAAAATATATCTTTGGACAGTCCCTGTGCCATACACCTACGTATAGTACTATCTGCATCATACCACCATCTAAATCACGTCTAGTAGAATTTAGATTGATGTTTTTAGCACATCCAACAATAGGGCATAAATAGGAGGACTGCAGAGAAACACAATAGACACAGGGACAGACAGACAGACACACACACACACACACACACACAACCATGTGGCCATCTGACACCTTGAACAGGCCCTGCAGGGCAAGGAGCTCTGCAGACCCCATCAATAAAATGGGCACAGAGTGGCAGCCGCCACCTCCAGGGCTGGTGTGTGGGCCATATGCATCCCTTGCTGGCACAGGGAGCCCACCAGAGTGTTGGCATCCCCGGTAAAGAGTTCTGGAAATGGGCAGCTGGCATTTGCAAAGGAGGGGGTGTTTGTTCAGCAATCAGAATGGAGGTTGGCCCTTCTGCAGAACCAGAGTGACTTCCCGCACGGGCTGGGCTTAGAAGCCAGGGAATGGGCATCTCACCCTCATTTTGGCAAGCATTTGTCATGAATGCCTTCTTCCTTCTTTCCAAAACAACTAAAGGAACACACAGAGTCTCTATTTACAGGGTAGATGAACAAACGAATACTTGAAGTTAATGAAATGTCAGGCCTTCCGCAGAGAAACACCACTAGGACCAAGCAGGACCAGGCTTGGCTCTCACTTGTCTCAGCTGCCTGCTCATCTTCTTCACACACTCCAACCCATTTTTAAGAGTTTGATAAAGCAAGACTGCAATTTCCAATCCAGACAGCCAGCCTCGTTAGGTGTGTTTTTGCTGCTCACGAAATGAACCAATCTTTGTCACCTAGCGGATCACATTAGATGTAATCCATACTAATGTGCAAATTAAGTCAGGGAAAGCAATTAACTCTGTAAAAATGGGCTCGTGAAAAATGATAAGGTTGGTCAAATAGTTTCACAGTGTGTAACTGTTTTTAAAACTTCCCGTCTATGTGAAGTAATTAAATCATTTACATTTCCAATGGAGTATACGTACCTTAGCTGCTCAGAGGCTGCACCTTGCTATACAGCAGGGCTGCTTGTTCAGGAACCAGCCCAGGTGGAATGAGGCCCTGCTCCTGTCTCAGAACAGCCAGCAAGACTTTGCCCTAGTGTCTCCCCTAGATTTGGGTCTCTTGTTCCCATGCTTCCTTCTATCCTGTATAAAAACTGCAAGGGACTTTGAAAATTGTCACCAAAAATGAGAGAGGTTCAATCTCTTCTCATCAACCATGTTGTACAAACAGGGACCCCTAAACCTGGGGGTAACTGCTCTTCAAAGACCAATTAACATCTGTCTTCAAGTTTGCTGTTAGCTTTATGTGCATGGAAGGTGCTAGGCAGCTTCACTAGCTGCTCATGGGCACACCAACAATTTAGGGACAAGGTTATTTAGGTAGCCACATCTCACAGGACCTGGAAGGAAATGCTACCCTACACCAGGGAACATTGTCTTGGTTTTTCTCCTCAGACTAGGTGCTCCATGAATTGACAGCAAACACTAAAGTCAGGCTGGAATCGAGCGGGTTTCCCTGTAAGGAACTTTTATAGTCTCACTGTCACAGTAAATACCTCTCAGAGACAGTCTTCTGTGTTCCCTCCACTCTGGGGTGTCAACTGGGAAGAGTCTGAAGATGGAGATACCTGGGCATCTTGGTTCCACGGGGTGGTTCAAGTCTGCTTCTGGGGATGGGTCTGGACCCCAGACAGCACAAAGGTTGGCCTCAGCATGGACTCACACTGCCCAAAAACTGAGACTCACTTGCTGGGGCTCCAGCGAAGGGCCTCTGCCCTCCTGTGTGTGACAGGGTGACCCGAAACCAGGGAAGGGGTCTGGTGCAGACAGGATGTAGTCAATGCTGAACTTGATGTCCCTGCGGCTGTCGTTCCTCAGGGCCTGGGCGCTGGCGGGTGGCGCGGCCTGGTGGCAGGGGGCGCGGTCCAAGGCAGGTTCTGGTGGATCCGCAGGTCCCTCTGCGCTCCCTGCCTTGGGCCCCTCGCACCGGGGGCCGCGTCGTCGCCTCCGCCGGCGGAAGTTCCCATTCTCAAAGAGGTCAAGCAGCGACTCGCAGCCGCCTGCGAACGTCCAGTAGTTACCCTTGCCCTTGTCGTGGCCCTCGGTCCGCGGCACCTGTGTGTGTGGGCGAGGGACAGGGGCGGCAGGGTGACGCTGGCCTGCGCGCGCAGGGTGAATGTCCCATGTCACCAGGGACCACGCGCCCCGGTGTCCCCAAGTCAGGACCGGGCCAAGGGTGGTGTTGGGGGTGGGGATGGGGGTCTCACCTTGACAAAGCAGCTGTTGAGCGACAGGTTGTGGCGGATGGAGTTCTGCCAGGCGCGCTGGTTGGCGCGGTAGTAGGGGAACTTGCGCATGATGAAGTCGTAGATACCAGACAGTGTCACCCTGCCCGCGGGGCTCTGCTGGATGGCCATGGCGATGAGCGCGATGTAGCTGAGGACGGGCGACAGATGCGCGCTGGTGTCACAGGGGACACGGTCTGTCGCACAGTGTGCATCGGGGTTCCCAAAGTGCGACGCACCCGTGCTTTTCCGGAGCCCGCCCTAAGGAATCCAGCCCCTCTTCCCTACCGTGCCCAGCAGGTCCTTCTGTCCCCAAGCCCCACCACCGGACGGATCGTCACCTATACGCCGGCCGCGTGAGCCGCTTCTCCTCGTCGGAGCTGCCAGCCGGGTAGTCGCTGTCGTCGTTGAAGCAGTTGTAGGGATACTGCGAGCTGTCAAACATCGCGGCGACTCCTCCGCGCCGCCCGCCAGCTCCTTGCAGCGTCCCGGCACAGACACAGTCTGCACGGAGCTTGCTGAGCCCCGGCCGCTGCCCCGCCCGGTCTTCTCTCGTCCAATCCGAAGCCGGGGAGGCCCCAGCGCGCGAGCTAGCAAGTGGAGCTGGAGCCGGCTCCAGCTTGATCCATAACCCACGGAGTGGGGTCGTGGGGGCCCCCACGGGTGGGACGACCTTGTCAGAGTCCGGAGTTCCCGTCGGCCTCCCGGCGCGGGGTTCTGGGGCACCAAAGTGGGTCTGTTTAACCCTGAGTGCGCTGGAAAAGACGTGAGCGCTTCTCTGCGGTGTGCGTGGGTCCTGGGGTAGAGTTAGGGGTTGCTCCCTAATCCTGCCTCTCCTCACCACAGATTGGGATTCAGTGGGATCCTGTGGTCCAGCCTCAGGAGAAGCAGGACCAGAGGCTCAGCACCATCCCACAGTCAGTCGTTACCCAGAAGTCATGACCACTGGGGCTCTAGCCTGCCTTGGGAGGAAGGATCTGCGTCCTGAGAGGTGGACTTTGCATCAGAGCCTCCACTGCTCTGGGGTTCTGTCTCTAAAGCTCTAGTCAAGGCAGGCAGCTGTGTGCAGGAGAAAAGCTACCTAGGACTGGAGGAAGGAGGTGGGGCTTGAAGGCTATGGCTTCACAGAGGAAGTGCTTTCCAGTAACCTGCAGAAGTGTCACAGCGCCATGTCCACGAGCTTGCCCCAGCAGGAAGCCTGTGGCCGTTTCTTCCAGGAAATCCCCTGACAGCAGCACCCTGAGCTTTGGGGGAACTTCTGCTTCATCCAGCCTGCTCTCCTAGGAGGGCCTGGTGTGGCGTAGCCGCCCCAGGAAAGAGGGGCACCCACCTACATAGCTTGGTGTGCTGGGGGTCCTCAGAGCAACCCTACAAGCCACCAAAGTGCGTTTGTTATTGTTCTCTGGTTTGGGTTTCTGTCCTGAGTCTCAGAACTGCCCTCTCTGTCAGACATCAGAATTAAAGGGCTGGATGTGGGGATGTGAAATGGCCCAGCACTTCTGAACACAGTTTGGCAGTGTCTTAAAAAGTAAACGCAGAGCCAGGCACAGGGGTTCATAACTGCTCTCAGCAGGAGAATGGCAAGTTCATGTCCAGCCTGGGCAACTTAGAGACTTAAAGAGACTCCGCCTCAAAACAAAATGAAGCAAAACAAAACAAAGCAAACAAAAAGTCTAAGATGTATGTCAGGGCAGAGGCCTTAGACTCAACCCCCAGCACACAAAAACAAAACAAAGTAAAACAAAACAAAACATCTAAACATGCAGTAGCCATGTGACCCAGCAGTTACAGTCCCTGGCATTACCCAGAATGCACCTGGGCTGTGTTCACACACATACCTGCAAACCTGTGTCCAGAGCTGCTGTGTTTGCTGTGTCCCCAAATCAGACATAACCTGGATGTCCTTGCTAGGGAAATGGTCAGGTGAACTTGGGTGTCTGGCATGGGAAACCACTCAGAAAGGAAAAGGAAGGGACTCTTGATGCACAAAACACAGGAGAATCTCTAACAGGATGAGAAGCCAGTCTCAGGGGTTCATGGAATTTATGGTTCCACTTATAATGTACATAGGACCTCAGGCAGTGGCTGTGTGGCCTTTATGACTCAGCTTCAGTGGTCCTACCTTACGTCTTCCCCAGACACAGGCTCACCCAAACCCAAGCAGAGACTCCCCGCAACAAATGAGCATAAAGTCTTATTTTGAGCTGAGCAGGTGGCACGGGTGCAGTTGTGCAGTCCTATTTGGAAAAATGCCACGTGCCACATCAGTCTAAGTGGGTGACAGAATCCAAAAGGGAGAATGAGAGGGAACAAAGAATATCCAAGGAATAGTCCCATAAAATGAGCCAGTAGATCACAAACCTCAAGATACACGTGGAGATCTAATATGAAGGAGGATCAGAAAACAAATCTCATAAAACAATTTGACAAAAATTTCATGGCTTAAAATAAGGACATTCAGCCCTAGTCAGAGATGGAACTTGTTCAGTGGTTGTTTTCTGTATTTGGTGTGTGGGATCTTTTGAGGCCTGGAAAAGCTTGATTTTGAGGACGACCAATTTCTCTCTTTTTCTTTGGGTTGCCTCTATTTTCAGCATCACATTCAAGAAGTATTTGCCAAATTCAAGGTCTTAATGATTTTTTTACAATGTTTTCTTCCAAGAGCTTCGCTCCTCCCTGTGCAGTATAAGGAATATACATCCCCTTGTCTCAGCCTCAGGAAAATCACCTGGCACCAAAGAACTAACCCTGCACAGTTCCTCTGACCAGATTCCCTGGAATGGGCACATTCATAGAGATGGAGATCAGAAGAGAGGTTATCGGGGCTCGGGGATGGAGGAAAGAGACGTGATTGATTAAGAAATATGGAGCTTATGTTGGGGATGATGAGAATTGGGGGGATGGAGCATCAAGGTCATGTCAAGGCCAGTGAGTTGTACACTTACAGATTGTCAGCATGATAAACATTGTGCAATGTATATTTAGCCACAATAAAAAATACTAAAAAATGGCTGAGAATATTTAAAGAGGTAAATTAAAACATGATACACATTTAAAACACAAACAAGAGGAAGCAAAACAAGATTAGTGGACCCCAGAAACTATTGAGGGAAGGGGACTGTGGCCTCTTAGAGTGAGAGACCAGGGTGGGCTGTAGGATCACAGCTTTTGCTGAATCTACTGAAGATTCAGCTTGAGGGACAGGAACCAGACTCAGCGGAGGTGCTGGGAGTGTAAGGTGGGCTCCACACACCTGGGAGCAAGTCAAGCGGGGTTCAGGGCCCTCCTGCAGCCCCATGATTCTCAAGAGGAAGGATGCCAGTGAGGGTCAAGTTTGTAAGGATAAGGAAGAATGCAGGGAGTCCTAGGTGGCAGGCAGGGCCCAGATGTGGAGACAAATCTCTCAGCAAGCGCCTGACCCCAGCGCAAGGCCAGGCTGTGGGGGAATCCAGCCTGCAGTATTTAAATCACCAGCCTGCCACAAATGCCCCTCGAGGGGAAGGACCTGCAACAGTGCAGGCATGAGCCTCAATCAGTTCCCTGATGCTGTGTCTTGAACAGGAACCCCAAAGTCCAGCCTTGAAGTCTCAAGACTTCAAGTATCCAACAGAACCTGGGCAATGTTTGAGACAACACAGAGCCAGTTGGTGATAAAAATAGCCACAGAGGATGTGCTAGGCTGGAGATAAGCTTTGTGGGGTCAGATGGGGACCCTCTACAGAGCCATGAAAGATGTAGGTGTTATAAATGAAAAACTCAGTAACAGAGATGAGTGTTGTCTGGAAGCTTGTTACATGAACGCCACACAGAGGGCAAATGTCAGTGAACCTGAAAACAGACCACCAAACTTCTCAAGCAGAACACAGAGCAGGCAAACCACCCGGGGCGGGGGGCAGGGAGGGCGTGCCAGGAAGATGGAGAAAGCAGGGACTAGGACCCAGGAGAGAAGCTGGAAGGAACAGGACAGGGAAAATCATGCACAGGCGATGGGCTAGAAATTCTCCAAACTTGTGAGAAGCTTCGGTCACAGGTCTAAGCTCAGAATGCCAGTTGTATAAATACAAATGTGTTTCTGAACTCCAACACCATACAGAAATTCATCAAAATAGATCTGTGATCCAAGTGTAAAACTAAAATCAAAATGGATCAAACATCTAAATATTAAGATAGAAACAATCTATTGGCAGATAAAACAGGTGAAACTCTTGAGGATATAGTCCTTGCATAGGCAAGGACTGTCCGAATGGAACTCCAGTTGTATAAGAAATAACATTAAAAAATGGAAGTGTATCAAATTAAGCTTCTGCACAGCAAAAGGAACAAGCAACAGAGTGAAGAGACAACCTACAGAATGGGAAAAGATTCTTGCCAGCTGTAACTTGGGTAGAGGACTAATACCTAGAAAATGCAAAGGTCAACAACAACAGTTAGCTCCCCACCACCAACAGCGCAATAAAAAATGGGCAGCTGAAATGAATTGACACTTCTCAGAAGAAGAAGTACAAATGGCCAATAAATACATGAAAAAATGTTCGCCATCTCTGGCCATTAGAGCAATGCAAATTAAAACAACACTGAGATTCCATCTTACTCTTGAAAGAATGGCTCTCATCAAGAAAGCAAATAATAATGAATGCTGGCAAGGCCAGGGGAAAAAGAAATCCTTCTGCATTCTTGATAGGATTGTAAGCCAGTACAGTCACTATGGAAATCAGTATGGATATCCCTCAAAAACAAACAAAACAAAACAAAAAAAAGAGACTTCATTTAACACAGCGATTCTCCTTCAGATGAGCTAAAGACGTTGTTTCACAGTGATACCTGCCTGGCCATGTTTACAGCTAAATCTTGGAAGGGGCAATACAGCCATCAACAGATGAATGGGTAGAGGAAGTGTGGTATTCTCAGTGGAGCACTACTCTGCCATAAAGAAGGTTATGCTGGAGGCACCTGTAGGAAAATGGGTATACCTTGAGACTGTGACGTTCAGTGAAATAAATCAGACACACAAGCTTAAACATCACATGGTTTCTATTCTATGAGAAACTCAAAGTGTAAATAAATTAAGGCACAAAGTAAAAGAAAGACAGTAAGAAATCGATCTTTTGCAAAAGGAAAGGGGACCAAGCGATGGAGGGAGGGAAAGGAACAGAAGGGGAAGAGGAGAGAAAAGCCCTAGGCATGTGTTGTGTACACATCCTGACCCCCCAGGATGAATATCATTGTTAGGTACTTCAAACATGTACTATAAATGAAACCTATAAAACTCATAGAATGATCTTCAGGCAAAGAGTTCTTTGTTATGACACTAAAAACATAATACATAAGAGAAAAAAAAGAGTCGTCAATGTGATTTAGAAGAAAAAATGTGCTCTGGGGAAAAAACAGAGCAGAACCAGGGTCCAGGTGGACGTGTGTGTGCACACGCATGTAAATGCTTGTGTGTGAAAATCTCAATGCATTAGTCCTAAGAGGCTTTGCTGTGAGACAGTACTTGGGGAGAAGCAGCAGGGACGTAGACCTGAGCACCC